TGGCCTTTCTCTCTTTGCCCTCAGACTCATCAGCATCTCAGTGAAGTAGGATTCAAGCATGAAGTCAACAGAAAACTTTTTCTCTAGGTTTTCAGGAACAGACCAGAAAAAAAAAAAAAAAAAAGACAACCCTGCAGGGAAACACAACCACAAAGGATTTTCCTCTGAGGCTTTTGAAAAAGGACCTGCAGTTTTGCATGCTGCAAATTTTTCTTTCTCTTTGTCTCCCTTTTTACCCCAACCTCTACTACATGGGAACCAGGAATAATAGTTTCTAATGGCCTAAAAGAAGGGAGGGGTGGGTGGAAAGAGAGCCACAAAGCAAAGGAAGGGATTTCGAAACTCTTAACTCTTTCATACCCACCAGCACCAGAATCCATGAATAGAAGTGTCTGGCAAGAGGGGAAGAAGGGAAAGTTCTTTTCACTCGCTTCAGAATGCTCTTGAGCAGGAGGGAGAGAGCAGGGTTATATTAAATGTTTTGCACAAAAACTCTCCTCATTTTCTTTGCAGCGGAGCTGCTGGGCATCATGGGAGAGTAGTTTTCTCTGAAAAATTTTGCTGCAGTGGCTGTTCTTGGTCTGATGGGAGTTTTAAGAAATCCCTCCTTGGTGGGAAAAAGTAGACAAACTTTCTCCTCTTTGGAGAATTTGTCTATTACGTGTCTATTATGGAATGGAATGTGTCCCTGTCAAATTCATAGGCTGAAGCCCTGAACCCCAGTGTGACTGTCATTGGAGACAGGGACCTTAAGGAGGTTCTTGAAGGTTAAATGACGTCCTAAGGGTGGGCTCCGATCCAACAGGGCTAGCGTCCTTATAAGAGGAGGAGGAGACAGCAGGAGTGCATGCACACAGAGGAAAGGCCATGTGGGGACAGGGACAGGGTGGCCATCGGCCAGCCGGGAGGAGAGCCCTCCCCAGAGACCAACCCTGCCGCAGCCACCTTGATCTTGAACTTCTGGCTTCCAGAACCGCGAAAAAAATAAATCTGGATTGTTTAAGCCGCCCAGTCTGGTAGTGTTCTGGGATGGCAGTCCTAGCAAACTGGCAGAGCATGTCTTTTAATACCGGAAGGCAGGTTGTCTTTCCCTTGCAATGCGATCACTGGACACGTATCAAGGCCCAGGAGGAAGGAGAGTGGTTGGAAGAATTGGCTGCAGGCCTGGTTCACATCCCAGCTGGTCACTTTCTAGTGGGGTGACCTCCAGCGAGGCACTTCCCCTCTTTACGTCTCCTTACCTGTAGAAGAATCATGAGGGTTTATACCTGCGAGATGGAGATCATTGTGAGGTTGAACACCTCAGTGTACGTAGAGCATGTGACAGTTCCTGGCACTCTGAAAAGGGCTAGCTAGCCTTGACAAGGACGCTGGCAGCCTCATTTGTCTGTCGTATTTTCAGCTGACAAAATATCTCCATAGCCATTATTTCCTTCCATTTTTACAGCGATCTTATGAGATTAGTTTGGGAAGGAAAAACTGACACCCACTAGGAGGGGGGGGGAGGAGACTAAAATGTAGAGAGGGCAAGAAACTTGTCCAAGCTCAAATTTCTAATAAATGTGGAGCCAGGCTTCCAATGAAGGTCCCCTGACTCCAAGTTCAGTGCTTTCCTCACTAAATTTGCAGACTCTCTGCATTCCTCCCTCCCACGGCCCCTCACTCCTTGTCTTTTTTTTTTCCCCCTCCCGCCCCCACCAAACACTTACTGAGTTTCTATCATGTTGTAGGCATTTCCTTTTCTTTCCCAGGCCCTGTGTTGTGTGTGTGTACATGGGCATGCCTGTGTGCCCGCACTCCTGCACCCAGGACTGTCATTCTCACTGGGGGGTGACCTCCCGCCTGGAGTCTCCTCTTCTTCTTACCTGCCAGTTTTTTCAGCTCCAAGAAATTGACACTGGGCATTGAAGGACGCCTTATAAATAGAGCCTCAACAGCACTCTCTTTGGTTATCTGAAAACTGACACAAAGCACAGGCAGCCGGGATGAAAAGAAAGAGCGCAGGGTCCCTGGTGGAGCAGATAATCGATATCTTTAAATGATTTGAGAGCAGAGATTCCCAAGGGAGAAGTGAGAAGAGACATGACAATGACAGCCTGTGACAGCTGGTTGGGATCTCCTAAGGACAGAGGGGTGGGGAGAGGGGGGGCTTTGAAAAAGCAGATTTCATATTGCAATGTTTATATTTGGAAAAATGTCCCCCAAACTCTTGTTCTCATAGCACAAACTACAGAAATGCAAGCTCTCCAGAGTCTCCTTGACCCATGGAGCCAAGTAGGAGTCTCAGAAGTTCCCAAAGGGACAGGAGGCAGGTTCTGAATTGGGAGAGGTGAGATCGTCACCATGTGTCCTTTGGCCATTATGGACATGAATCGAAAGAACCGAGAGACACACTGCTCCATGGAGTCTTCAGAAGAGAAGCAGGGCCTGAAAGGTGGAAGGAGTCAGAGTCTGGAAGCTTCCTGCAGAGTCTGAGAAGGCCACCAGAGCCAACGCCCCTATTTTACAGATGAGGCAACGGAGGCAGAGAGAGAAGCCACTGGCATGATGAGGTCTGAATGCTTACAACCGGACTTGCTGAGCCCCGCACTTGCCCAACCCGCCTGCAGTGGCAGATCCATCAATGGAAAAGACCAGGGACTCTCCAACAAGCCAATCTTCCACTCCTAATAAAGACAATTAATATTATGCCTGTAGGAGGTTGGGACCAACTGGGGCCACTGGCTTAACAGGCCTGAAGGATGCATCTGGGAAGGCTGGGAACACAAAAGCAGGGGCTCCTGCCGTTCTAGAAGGGTTCCTAAGAGTCCAGTGTCCTTTAGGTAGGTCTCTCTGCGGACTGGAAGTAGTGAGCTGGATAGCAAGGGACGTGCAGCCATTGGTTTTCTGTGCATATAGATAATGCCCCGCTGAGGGGTAGGGTGTGTCCCGGTTGTTTATTCTGCACAAAAAAACACCCCAAATGTGTTGGTGACCCTCACCCTCACACTTTCCCTGACTCTGACCCCTACCCTGAACTTGACCTGACCCTGAACCTGAATTTGACCTGACCCTTATGCTTTCTCTGGCCTCACAGTGAACCTGAACCTCACGAGGCCTGATTTTGAGTCTCGAGTTGGATCATCCCCTCAGCCTGACTTTCACCCTGACCCAGGGCGGGATCTTGACCCTCACCCTGTTCTGACACTGCTGTGACCCCCAGCAGATGCTGGCCCAGTCTCTGAGCTGAGGCTCGCTCTGGTTCTCACCCTCACACTGTCCTGATGCAGACTCCAAACCCAGGGCTGCCCCTGAATGTGATCCTAATCTTGACCCTGAAACCCACCTGACCCCGACCTTCACCCTGACCCTTACCACGTCTCTGACCCTCACTGCGGCCTCACACTGACCCTGAGGCCGACACTGACCTCTATCTTGATGGTGACCCTGGGCATTTTCCTCACACTCTGAATTTGACCTTAATCCTCACCCTGATGCTCATATGGACTTGGATCCTGAACGTGACCTTCACGATCATCTCGACCCGACCTTGACCCAGACGCTCAACATGACTCTCTTCCTGACCGGACTCTGACCTTCAACTTGAACCTCACAGTGACCTTGACTCTCACCATGACCCTGAACTTAGTGCTGAATAAGCTCCTGACCCTTGCCCTGAACTTTGACCCTGACCTTCACTTTGTCCCTGAACCTTAATTTGAACCTGACCCAGATCCTGACCCAAATACTGATCCTAACCCTTACCATAATCCTAAAGCTCATTGTTATCATGACCTTGACCCTCAACCTCACTCTATGACCCTCACTCTGACCCTCATCATGAGACTGACCCTACTAATGACCTCACCATCACCTGGTGGAATTTGAGCATGCAATTGTATATACTCACATGCTAGTTTCACCTAGATTTTTTTATCATTTGCAATAAGAACGTGCTTTTGAGAAATATGAACTTGCTCATACAGGAAATGCCTGTTTTCAGATACGCTGCTCTGATTTGTGTTAATATGGTCCACCTCAAAGTGAGACAGTGCAGTGGGGAAGAATTTGTGGTTCTCACTGATTTGCCACAGATAAAGCATGGGTTTACTCTGCAGCTAATAAGAATTTTCTTTAGACACCAATGTCTGATTTCTTCTTTACTGCTAGTCTGTTCACATAAATCCAATTTTCTATGATATTTGCTTTCACTTACAAAAAGTTACAGTTGAGAAACGTGTAAATATGAACTCATTTTTACATATATAGCTTAGATTCCTCTTATCTTGTTCTAACTCACAGAAAGAAATTGTAATTGAGATGAAGGTGAGTTTCTGAGTTGTTTTTTATCATATACATTTTATACAGATCTTGGTTTAGGCGAACAGAAGTAGTATCGAAAAGAAGTCTGTTTGAGTGCAAATGAGCTTGGTCTCAGGCATTCCTCTCAAAAGAAACTCCTATTACTTCTTGGAATAACCCGAGGTGAATATATAAGCACAGATGGATACGTGTCATTCATCTCAAAAGGCAAATCCTTACTGTGAGGGACGACAGATGAGGAAGGGCCTAAGCAATAGTACTGAAAAAAAATCTGTGTTCGTATTCTTTTATTTTAATTTTAATTTTTTTTGAGACAGAGTCTCACTCTGTTGCCCGGGCTCTAGAATGCTGTGGCGTCAGCCTCGTCACAGCAGACCTCAACTCTGGGCTCAAGCCAATCCTCCTGCCTCAGCCCCCCCAGTACTGGGGACACAGGGAACGCCACCATGCCTTTGGCTAATTTTTTTTTCTATATACTGTTTTTAGTTGGCCAATTAATCTTCTATTTATAGTAGAGAGCGGGGTCTGCTTTTGCCAGGCTGGTTCGATCTGACCTGCTGAGCGATCTCCGCCTCCGGCCTCCCAGAGTGCTAGGATTAGACAGGGTGAGCCACTGCGCGGCCCAAAATCTGTGTTAGTATAAACAAACTCAGTTTCAGACAGCCCTCTCAAGAACATCTTTTTATTGCTTCCTGCAGTGACCAGAGCTGAATGTAAGAGAAGCAGCACACACCCATCGAGACTGCATGTCCTTCCTTCGAGGTAGGTGTAATGGACTGAATGTTTGTGTCTTCCCCACAATCCAGGTGTGGGGATCCTAACTCGCGATCTCATGGTAGTAGGAGGTGGAGTCTTAGGTCCTGAGAGCAGAGCCTTCATGAATGGGATTAGTCCTATAAGAAGAGTCCAGAAGCTTGCTCCCTCTTGCTGCTCTCCATCCTGTGAGATATGGGAACCATTGGTCATATGCAAACCAGGAAGAGGGTCCCCACCAGACACCAGATCTGTCAGAGCCTTGATCTAGGGCTTCCCAGCGTCTAGAACCATGAGAAATAAACGCTTGTGGTTTAAGCCGCCCAGTCTATGGTACTCTGTTACACCAGCCCAAGCTAAGGCAACTGGAGAAATTAGAGTGAATCTAAGCAGTAACATTGGCCGGGCGCGGTGGCTCACGCCTGTCATCCTAGCACTCTGGGAGGCCGAGGCGGGAGGACTGCGCTTAGTCAGGGAGTTAGACGGCAGCATCCTCATCTGCTCCAGAGCAAGAGCAATGACTAATGTTATTAAAAACAGAAAGAGGCGGGGCCAGCGGTGGCTCACACACTGTAAATCCGCAGCAACGTCTGGGAGGCGCCGAGTCGAGCGGATTGGGCTCCAGGTCAGGAGTTCGAAATCCAGCCTGAGCAAGAGCGAGACCCCCGTCTCCTAGCTATAAATAGAAAGAAATTAACATTGCCAACTAATATATATATATATATGTATATATTAGTATATATACATATATATAATACTATAGTAGTATTTAAGCCAGGCATGTGGCAGCGTGCCTATAGTCCAGCTACGCGAGGCTGAGGCAGGAGGATTGCTTGAGCCAGAAGTTTTGAGGTTGGCTGTGAAGCGAGCGGCTGACACCACCAGCAGCTCCACTCCTAGCCTGGGCAACAAGTGAAG